GAGTCGAATGTTGTCAGTCCCATCAATCTTGAATAAAATAGGTAGTCATTCAAATTGATGGACTGACACACATCGACTCAAGGTTGAGGGACTGATACCTCATTCTCCTCCTGTCTTCAAGTTCTTCACTTGTAGGACTGATCACGCCAGGTGGGAAACTCCATGACTACAGGTCCACATGTGTGACTTTTTAAACCTTTCAGGCGCTATGATTTTAACACTGTGGTACTCAGGACAACAATGATTCCTAGACAGAGCTACACAATGTTCCTAATAGGGTAGCTCAACTGTTCATGACTTAGATACCCTTATATTTCATGTGGGGAAATGAATGTAGAGACAATGTGGAAACACTGTGGACGGTATACCTTAGGGAAGTTCACACAACAGCTTATCATCTAGTGGAGATAACTGAAGGTCACAATGGTGTCCTCACCTTAGTCATGTTGTCGCCACATTTGAATAAATGGTTTCCCTATTGAAGATTGAGACCTTGCACATAATGGGAACTTATTCAGGGACGATTTACGCCATCCGTGGCTTCACAGTTTCCAATAGGATGATGAAGCAATGGAGGCAATTATAATAGTCCCAGTGAGTCTGCAATGTTGTTATTCAACATATTAGAATGTACGTACATTCTACAAGATTGATGGACTGAACACATCGACTCCAGGCTGAGGGACTGATTACCTCATACTCCTCCTCTCCTTACGCCTTCCTCTTTGTATTGGACTGATGAAGCCACTGTGTGGCGAAACGTTTCCTGAATAAAGATTCCCATATGCTGCATAAGTGTCTCAATCTTTTTGACCTGACTAGGTTGGGTGCATTGGCTTAAGCCGGTAGGAGACTTGGACCTGCCTCGCATGGGCCAGTAGGCCTGCTGCAGTGTTTCTTCGTTCTTATGTTCTTATGTTAACTGCCTACCTTCCCACATCCCGAAACTATCAGTCCGAACTGTCTCCTTGTGTTTATATCTTCAAGCCTTCAGTTTAAGAGGTAAGAGCCGGAACTTAGGTAGGCCTATTTACTGCGACGTCAAATATAACCCTAGATTAGCTGATAACACTGGAGAAGGATGAGGCATGGAGTGTGCCCAAGCGGGTATAATAAGCTAGAGGACGAGGCATGGAGTGTGCCCAAGCGGTATAATAAAAACACAGAGGTAACGAGGGGCAATGAGTGTGCCCAAGCGGGTATAATAAGCAGAGGACGAGGCATGTGTGCCCAAGCGTTATAATACGGAGACGAGCATGGGTGTGCCAGCGGTTATTAATACGCAAGAGGACGAGGCATGGAGTGTGCCCAAGCGGGTTAATAGCCAGAGGACGAGGAAACCGCCCCCCCCCCCTAAAAAATTTTGGGTGGGGTAGTGAAATTAATAGAAATGAAAATTTATAAACCAATTGTTAAATTTGGGAGTTTTTTATAGTTTCCCCTGCAAGGATATTGTCTCCTACAAGAATATCAGATTGTGTTGAATTGGGTTTTAGAATTACCGACAATATGTAAAGTAAAAGGACAAAAGTGCAACTAATGTGACATTATTGTGGCAACGTTTCGCTCTCCAGGAGCTTTATCAAGCCTTTATAAAGCTCCTGAGAGCGAAACGTTGCCACAAAAAAAATGTCAATAGTTGCACTTGGGGTCCTTTTACTTCAGATTGTGTGGCCCTGTGATGGGGCCATTGTCTGAAGGCTCCGTGATTCTATCATTTAAAACCCAGGGACAGTTGTTAGTAAGTTTATTTATTTTACAGGTTACTGAGTACAATTATCATACCTGTAACATGGTAAATTACCTAGGATAACCAAAAAAAAGCCAGCAAAGTGACAATTGGGGTCCTTGTATGTACTTTCATTATTATTATTATTTTTTATTAAAGTTACCCGACTTAGGGTCTTGCACAGTAAGTAGTAAGTAAAGAAATATTCAGGTAACCCAAATACAGTTACATAGAATTATCATAATAGCAGCATATGTGTAGAGACCGGGGATAACCAAAAAGTCAGGAGTGATTATTTCCATTGTGTTTGCTATTTAAATTCCTGTAACTCAATTTCCTGAGAATCATTATCCAGTACATTAAACGATTACCTTTGTAACTTTGTCAGGGATTGTGACCAGATCTACTTGGAGGCATTACCTTTGTAACAGTTCGCTATCTTTACTTTGGGTCCAGTCTGGACATTAGTACCTTTAATCTTTGACTACCTCCCACAGGATGGGATTGGGGTGACTACCGCCCACAGGATGGGTATGGGGTGACTACCGCCCACAGGATGGGATTGGGGTGACTACCGCCCACAGGATGGGTATGGGGTGACTACCGCCCACAGGATGGGTATGGGGTACATAATTAGGATATTAAACTAACTCACATACCTAACGGAGAAATCATCAAGGACTGATATTATCACTGAGTTATCACCCGACACAATCAGCTCGGTTAATACTGAGTTAATCAGTTTGATTCTGATACCAATATCATCTGATCAGCGGAATCCATTCTGTGAGAGAGCATATAATAACTCCACACTGGCTTAATAAAAATTGGGAGCACCACAGTAGATGTACCTTTGTAATCTTTGGATTACCGCCCATACAATGTATATGGGGTACATAATATACTAAACTAAAAACATCACAGTAGGCCTACTAGCCTGTGCTAAGGCCTTCTTGACACCGTCCTTGATACACATTCAAGGAATCTCTTGGTCTTATCACGGACATTTAGGCACTACTGTGGCCCGGTGGCTAAAGCTCCCGCTTCACACACGGAGGGCCCGGGTTCGACTCCCGGCGGGTGGAAATTCCGACACGTTTCCTTACACCTATTGTCCTGTTCACCTAGCAGCAAATAGGTACCTGGGTGTTAGTCGACTGGTGTGGGTGGCATCCTGGGGGACAAGATTAAGGACCCCAATGGAAATAAGTTAGACAGTCCTCGATGACGCACTGACTTTCTTGGGTTATCCTGGGTGGCTAACCCTCCGGGGTTAAAAATCCGACCGCAAGCAAGCACTCGAATGTAATAGAGGTATTATAAGCAAACTCGGTGCAGGAAACAATACACACAAATCATGGGCAAACCATACCCCGGCCGGGATTGAACCCGCGGTCAGAGAGTCTCAAAACTCCAGCCCGTCGCATTAGCCACTAGACCAGCTAGCCACAATAAGATTCGTCCAACTAGGTACATTTCTACACCATAGGAAGGTTAGCATAGGCCACCACTGTGACCACAAATGCAAGGTTTTACAGACGAATCTCCAGCTAGCGTGGCCGTGACGAACTCTAGCTCAAGTCCCCTCACTGCCGTCAACATGACTCACGAAATCGTAATGAAACGATTGCAATCGTGTCATTACGATTTCGTGAGTCAAGTGACAAGAATGTTGTTAGTGGATGGAGGAAAGAACACGTAGCAAACATGGTTTAAAAAAAGACTAATATGGATCAAACAGAATTTAAAACTTTGGTGTTGTGAGATAAAAAAATTTAAAATACTGATATTGATACTTCAAACCTTCATTTGTTTTTTTTAAATAAGTTTCTTTCTAACTTTATTTTAGTTGGCAGTGAAACTGAAGAATTTAAATGATGTTGTGAAGGTGATATATATTTTTTTGTGATTTTTTTTTATATACATTTATGTTTATATATATATATATATTTTATATATATATAATATATATTATAAATATTAATTAATTTAATTCTTTAATATTTTAAATATTTATTTTTAATTTTAATATATATATATAAATTGTTCAGAAATGACTAGTTGACCAAATTAACACATTGCAACCACTTGGGATCTTGTGAAATGTTTCACCACACACTGTTATCAGTCCAATCGAACAATGGTGAAAAAAGACGGGATTGGGGTAATCAGTCCCTCAGCAGGGTTTGATGCAAACATCCATCAGTTTTCAAACAAAATAGATTTAACTGATATAATCTACTTCAGGCTGAAGACTGATTACTCAATCTCTTTCCCTTTTTATCTTCCACTGTTTCTCTGTATGACTGATAAGTACTCTTGTGAAACACTTCCAGAATAAGGGTCCTAAGTGTCATCAAGTTTTCTCATAAACTTGTCGCTTTTTCTAAACTATTTATTCAAATATTACTGAAGAAAATTTTTTAATGGTGACCTTTAAATTTGCTTATGTGACTTTATCAAAGTAATTTTGAGTTTCTGACAATTCATATTTCCCCCCATACCCATACTACAATACTTCCCCACAACAACTACTTTCCACCTTACTACTTTCATGACACCACCAAAACCACCACTACTGCTACACCACCACCACTACTACTACTCTACCCCCCTTTCAAGTAGGGCTCTTTGCACAGTTTATGAGGTTTGATCTAAGGGTATTAGACATTTATCTGCTTCCTCAGTTTATTTGGGATTTTGTTATAGAATAGTATATTATAATACCCAATAGAAATTACAGAGGTCTCACTTTCTGTTATTTTCCAATTTTTAGTGGTTTCAATTATGGACACTCATTATTCACACTTTTACAATAAAAAATATTCACGACTCACTAAAGCTAAGGACAAAAATATTTTAAAAAAATATTCTGGGTTATTGTTGGTCAATTACTTTTTTAAATTTTGACACTACATAGACTCTCACTTTCTAAACATACATGAAATCACTACTAAAAAACATACATAGACTCACTACTAAACAGTACATAGACTCTCACTACTAAAACTACATAGACTTCACTACTAAACACTACACAAAACTCTCACTACTCAAACAACTACACTAGACTCTCACTACTAAACACTTCATAGACTCTCACTACTAAACACTAATAGACTCTCCCCTTAAACACTACAGCTTCACTATAAACACTACATAGACTCTCATTACTAAACACTTGTTTTAAAATTTAAAATAAACTATATTAAAAAGACAATAATCTATAAAGAAGTACTTTAGTAGAGGCAGCTGAAGACTTGGTAAAACTTCCTGAAGGTGAAGAGTAATATTCTAATATAACTATATTAAAGAAGATAATAAGCTATACTGAAGTACTTTAGAGAGGCAGCTGAAGACTTGGTTAAACATCCTACAGGTGAAGAGTAATATTCTAATATAACTATATTAAAGAAGATAATAAGCTATACTGAAGTACTTAGAGGGCAGCTGAAGACTTGGTTAAACATCCTACAGGTGAAGAGTAATATTCTAATATAACTATATTAAAGAAGATAATAAGCTATACTGAAGTACTTTAGAGAGGCAGCTGAAGACTTGGTTAAACATCCTACAGGTGAAGAGTAATATTCTAATATAACTATATTAAAGAAGATAATAAGCTATACTGAAGTACTTTAGCAGAGGCAGCTGAAGACTTGGTAAAACTTCGTGAGGTTGTAGAAGCCAACTTCGAGGGACAGTACCGCATTTTCACATCTTTAAAATGGATGGGAAAAAGGTTACCTTCGTCTCCTTTGAGGAGCTGACAGACTTAGTGATGATGAGCCCAGAGTGTACATTCCTTGGCAGCGGAGTCAGCGGATCAGTCTATCTCTTCACTGTACTCGGTGAAAAACTGTGCGTCAAAAAATCCCATGAAAAAAACTACATGAGGATATTTGGCCATGAAATGAATTTGCTTCATGAAGTTGATGGTGCTGGAGGTGCCCCTCTGGTGAGATACATGGCCTATGATTACCCAGCCATGGTTATGGAGTATCGTGGACACACAGATTTCAACGAATTTTTCCACACCTGTAAGTCTTCCTCAAAGCGCATCCTGGCTTTGATTAAGTTAGCTGAGAGCCTCCAGGAGGTTCATGATAAAGGATTCGTACACATGGACCTTAAAGCTGACAATGTATTGGTTCAACATGTGGAGGAGGACTCTAACTTCCATGTCAACATAATAGATTTCGGCCTGGCCCGGAAGGCAGGTGAGGATCATCGGGGCTTCAATTCTCAAAGTGAACACTATGCTCCAGAGACACGCATTAAAGGCAAGGTATCTCCAACCATGGATGTGTATTCCTTTGGAGATCTCATTAGTTTTGTTTCTGATTACTTAAAAAATAAGAAACAGTCTAAGAAGCTGAATGTCCTGGCACGAGAAATGATGGATCCTGAAGCAGGGAAGCGACCAACTTTGACGGTTGTTCAGGAACGCTTACATGAAATCATGAACATCACAACGAAATGTAAACGACTCAAAAAGAGAATTGTCGAAGCAGTGGCAGCAGTGCAAAAAATATTTGCTCCTCGCCAATGCTGAGGCGACATCAACCAATGATGTGAGAGATGGTCAGGAGTACTTTTGTAACCACAACTGTAAAAAAAAAAAAAAAAAAAAAAAAAAAAAAAAAAAAAAAAAAAAAAAAGGTGATAGTATGTGTAATGTGTAAAGGTGATAGTTTGTCTCGTGTGTAGTGGTGTTGGTTTGTCTAGTGTGTAGTGGTGTTAGCTTGTTTACCGAGTAGTGGTGTTGGTTTGTCTAAACTATTTATTCAAACATTACTGAAGGAATATTTTGTTAATGGTGACTTTTAAGTTTGCTTATGTGACTTTATCAAAGTAATTTTGAGTTTCTGACAATTCACTACAGAGATCAGATCAGATCAGATCGGACTCACAGGTAAGTACCCACGAGGGGCGAGGGGCAAGTGGGGACAGTACGAAGAATAGACGGGGAGAGGAATGTCTTGAGTCGAAGAGAGAAGAGTCAGGACTAGACCCAACTGCTAAGCCACAATAACGATAACAAAAGACGATGTAGATACAACAGGAGCTCTGCAGGCTCTGACCGCAACTTGCTGGACGAAAAATTGCTGCATCTTGATGTTGATTGGCGGCTGGCAGGAGCTGGAGGAGTTTTCAAGGGAGGCTAGCTTTTGATTGGTCAGGCGTCGTTAATATGTGAGTCTGGAGTTACTTCGTTTCTTTAGTGAAGGAGCCATTCCTTATATTTTGCATTTGTTGGAAGGAAACGATAAGTAGTCTTGTAATCTTAGGTCGAAATGCTCGGTTGGCTTGTAATTGGTCCAAGGTCATCTGGAGTGTAGTCACGGAGCAGTGGGATCCTTTACGATTTGTAAACTTGACTGTTCTGTCGAGTAATTTATCGTACAAAGTGTCGACAGTCATGGTAGGTTCTTGATCAGGAGTCGTATAAAAAGTTATATCTTTCCAGTGCAGGTATTGATCTTGATGTTGGTCTTCTGTATTAATACGTCGAGAGATAGCTGGAGAGGTTTTTTTTGGTGGTTGCAGCATTGAAGGTGCTTTCAATTTTGGTGTCTCCGCTAGAGTGTGTAGAAGACTGTGGGAGAATCGTGGCTTCTGATTGGTCCATATGAGTAGTGGTGGGTGGAGGTGAAGGAGGTACACCGCCACGACGAGCCAATCGACGAGCAGGAGGCGATCGACGAATAGGAGGTCTTGTTGGAGTGACGTCACTAGGTGTTGGTGGTGTTGGAGCTGCTGATGCAGAAGTGTTGATTAGGTCCTTAAGATAAGATAAGATAAGATAAGATTTCGTTCGGATTTTTAACCCCGGAGGGTTAGCCACCCAGGATAACCCAAGAAAGTCAGTGCGTCATCGAGGACTGTCTAACTTATTTCCATTGGGGTCCTTAATCTTGTCCCCCAGGATGCGACCCACACCAGTCGACTAACACCCAGGTACCTATTTGCTGCTAGGTGAACAGGACAATAGGTGTAAGGAAACGTGTCGGAATTTCCACCCGCCGGGAATCGAACCCGGGCCCTCCGTGTGTGAAGCGGGAGTTTTAGCCACCAGACCACCGGTCAAGTTCAGTGTCACAGGTTAGCTTTAGCGCCATTAGGATTGCAAACAATTCACTTTGCAGTGTTAGTTAGTTTAATATGTTTATTATGCACCCCATACCCATCCTGTGGGCGTGTAGACGCCCAGTTGTTAATTCTTATGCCTAACTCAACAAATTTATTATCGTTCTTAACTAGGGAGGTGGCAACAAGAGCAGATGCAGCCCTGCCAGAAGACTCGTGTTTAGATCCATCAGTGTATATAATGTGTTGAAGAAGAAGTAGTGTTGCTGGTGATAGTAATGGTGGTGGTGGCAGAGACAGTTACATGTCCACAGCTCCAACACCCACCAGCTACCTGACCCGGCAGAGGGTGGCGCGTGTACACACATATACTGGCTGCCTCCCTGAGTACATTTTTCAATCAAGACAATACGAAAATATTTCTCCTTTTATTGTCAAAAAATATATTTCCCTTGACAAATAGTTATTTGTGAGGCCTCACAACCTTACTTTTTTACAATTACAAGTTTATAAAATAAAATAATGGTGAAGTATCAAATATTAATCCGCAGAACACAAAAATATTGAGAGAAAACTAATTTTCTTATGCATGGAGAGACGAAGGTAGCCTCTACATGGTAGTTACCACTTAGTTTATTCTTTAAACACTATTTATAGCTTTATGTTAATTAATTGTAATGGTGTATTGCTGCTATCATCAAAATAACATAATGCCACATTCTATTACATCTGTCTCTCTATGTTTACTACAAAAATTACGAGTTCATTAGTGATTTTCTTAAATAACATCACTGGCACCTTGTCCTACTCTCTCAGCCTGACACCAGTGACGGCGCTACTGCGCATGCGTCCATTGTCTTACCTTGTTGAGTACTATGGTTTCAAAACAACTCTTGTCATTTAGGGAAATCTTTCAATCCTATAATCAACGTTTATATTTCCTTTCTCCTAAATTAATATACTCTTTCCTCAAACAAAAGTATTTATTTGTGTACAACAAATATATTACGACATGTATATTACTATTGCTAGTGTATATGCACTGTTCTCATCTGTTTTCATGGTTGTCCTGGCTGTGAGTACTTTTTGAATCAAGACAATTATTTATCTTCGTCTTTTTAAAAAGATTGATTTCTTGTTCCTTCACCAACCATGATCTGGGATGAAATGTACCTTGATGTCAGCAGTACCTTCATTATCAGGATCTTCTTCATGTACCTTGTTGTCAGGATATCCTTGATCCTGAGGATCCTCTACATGTACCTTTAATTTAGTCCAAAACCCTCAACATGAACCTTGATCCTCAGGATGTTAGGAGTACTGTGATCCTGACACCTTAATATGACCTTGATGTAATTAGGACCTTGATTCTGAGAATCAACTATGTGTACCTTGATATTGAAATACATTGACATGCACCAGAGGATCCTCTACAAGTACCTTGATGTAGTAATATGTCATTGATGTTAGCTAGGCCCGTATACCTTGTGCATGTACTTATACAAATGAAGATATTATTATTATTATTATTATTATTATTATTATTATTATTTATTATTATTATTAACCAGCTCTCTGCCCTTAAATCTTTAACGGTTTTGGTGGGCAGCCGGTTATTGAACTTAGGTTGTGTGTAGGTGTCTGGCCCTGCTGGGGGTTAGCAAAGTGCTCCACCTGATCTAATTAGGAACTTTTAGTTCCTGTTTCTATTAACTTAGGAACTTTTGTTCTTTTTCTTTCCTGGTTCAGCTTTGTGCAACAAATCTTGCTGGTGTGATCGACAAGTTTGGCAGGATACACCTTCACCTCTTACTCACCCTTATAAACCCAAAAAAGATAAACATATTTCTCTCCTTCGACTAAACAACATTTTTCCTGCCAAAAACACAACAATGGCGAGTATTTTCCTACAATACCGCAAGTTTGCTGCAGAATGCGAGTCTGGGCAGCCACATAATGCTCTTGATGGAAAGTAAGTGTCTGAAAGGCAAGTTTAAGGCCATTTCAAGTAGTGGCCAATAATTATTTCTCTAATATGTAATAATAATATTTTTATTTCTATAAGAACATGATACAGACCACAGCTGACATCAGTGACATGACACGGACCACAGCTGACATCAGTGACATGATACAGACCACAGCTGACATCAGTAACATGATACAGACCACAGCTGACATCAGTGACATGATACAGACCACAGCTGACATCAGTAACATGATACAGACCACAGCTGACATCAGTGACATGCTGCTATATAGAAAGTTCCTTCTTACGCAGAGCATTTCCCCCAAATTAGCATGTGACCCACACCAGTCACCTAACACCCACAGTGTGGCCCACACCAGTCACCTAACACCCAGGGTATGACCCACACCAATCACCTAACACCCAGGGTATGACCCACACCAATCACCTAACACCAGGGTATGACCCACACCAATCACCTAACAACCAGGTGGACCCACCAATCACTAACACCCAGGGTATGACCCACACCAATCACCTAACACTCAGGGTGTGACCCACACCAATCACCTAACACCCAGGGTATGACCCACACCAATCACCTAACACCCAGGGTGTGACCCATACCTAACACCTAGGGTGTGACCCACACCAATCCACTAATAACCAGAATGCAACCCACACCAGTCCATTAATAACCAGGATGTAACACTAACACCACTAACACCCAGCATGCGACCAACAACATTCACCTAACACCCAGGGTGCAACCCACACTAGTTTACCTGGAGAGAGTTCCGGGGGTCAACGCCCCCGCGGCCCGGTCTGTGACCAGGCCTCCTGGTGGATCAGAGCCTGATCAACCACTAATACCCAGGATCAAACCAAAATCACCTCACTAATACCCAGGATGCGACCCACAATAGTCCAGTAACACCCACGTACCTATTTTACTGCTAGGTCAAACTGGACAGCAGGTGTCTTAAGGAAACATGTCCTAATGTTTCCAGCTATACCAGCGATCTACCCCCCAGGCCTTCAGTGTGTGAGGCCAATCTGCTACCAACCCAGCCACAGGGGTGGAAGAATGTAATTATTTAATCGTAATTGTCTATTTCACTCACATATACATTGTAGCATTAAAATAACAATTAACCAAATCAGCAAATGATGACCACACTAGCAAAGGACACAACACTTCCACAGAACAACTGTACATTGGTTCTCTCCTGTGAGTCTGTTGCCTATTGCAATTTTACCTTTATTTTGCTATTTAACAACCCTTGACCTTGCAGTCCTAATGCCAAAAATAAATAGGTGCCTTGATGCTTCCTCATTGTTATAGATGGCCTAAGAGACCACCTGTAATATATATTTTTGATGGTACTGGTACATACACGTTCAGTTACACAAAGTATTGCACGTATGGTGGAACCTCGGTACTCGAACACCTCCCTACTTGAACAATTCGGTATTCGAATGCTTACTTTGGTAAAAACATTGCTCAGTGGTTGACAATTTGCTTGCAACTCTACCAAACAAACACTACATGCCAGAACTTCCCTGTGAACTATTTTGTGTGTCTTCACATTTTCTGTTGTCTTTTTAATTTTTTATTATTTGTATAAATAAATCACTGTGGTGCCTAAGATGAATGATAACAGCCAACAAAAAAGACAGTTGGTTGGGAAAAATTCATTTGATATTCGAACTTATTGGCATTCGTACAGCCTTCTGGAATGAAGTAAGTTCGAGTACTGAGGTTCCTCTGTATTAATGTATGTCCTGCGGTAGTAGGTTGGTAGACGGCAACCGCCCAGGATTGCTGATGTCTTTTTTCTGTCTCATAAACAGACAACATTTCATGTACATCTTCCTACTTCTACTTACACTTAGGTCACACTACACATGCATGTACACACCTCTCTGGGTTTTGTTCTATTTTATTACTAGTTCTTGTTTATTTCCTCTTATCTCCATGGAACACAATTCTTCCTGCGCAAGTCATGCATGTCATAACTAGGAACTAAATTTACTAAATTTAAACAGATAAACTCCTTTTTGTTTTTAGATCACCCCAACTGGGTGTGATACAGCCAGTTTGTTGAAAAAAATATTAACATGTGTACATTACCTAGGATAACACAAAAAAGTCACAGCCCATTGATTCATTATGAACTTAACTAATCTTCCTACTTGCCTGCCTATATTGGCAGTAATTATGGTGCACACACATGGTGTCTATTATTTGTAAAAAAATACATATTCAAATGTGGTATAAGTACATTCCCAAATATAATAAATAATGTCCAGTGTGTTCTGAGAATTATAGAAAATGCTTTATACAAAATATTAAACAACAAATATGCAGTGCACTCTTACTTTCTTTTAAATTATTAATGTCAAACCATTCTGGTGTTGATAGCAGTTGCCACCTGCTTCAATTTCTTATAAGTTTGGTGCTTACTGCAAACTACTGTTCACACCAACCAACTGCCAATTTTCTACAGTAATCAACATAAAGAATTAGACATTCCCATGAATGATATACATTTCACAATAAATACACCTTGGTTGGGTATTTTGCATTTGTTATTCTGTAAAGCTTTTCTATGTTAATGTAATAACTGTTATTCTAACTATACAGTATATAATGAAAACAACCCAGTTCCATACAATGGCAGGCCCTGCTTAAACAGCAGGTTAGGTTCCAGGGTACAGATATAAAAAAAAAAATTGCTGAAAAGTGAAACATAGCCGTTTTCCACTTTCCAGCCAATGTAAAAGCCTGATAACATATTTACTATATCAATACAACTAAGTGTAAAAAATGCATATACACCCTCTACTCATTTTGCGACATACTTGTTTACCGATGCCTCAAACTTACGACGGGCTCTCTGACCAGTAGTTGTACCTAAATAATGTACGGTGCACCCTCGGTTATCGGCCGCTCCTGTTATTGGCCAACTCGGTGATCGGCCAGTTTTTCGGCTCCCTGTGATCGCCCATTACTTCGGTGATCGGCCCTTTCGGACGCGTCCGTCCACCGGCAGGGGCCGCTTGTGTGTCAGTTTCCCTGTGTCTCTCGGTGCATGAGGAAGCTTCTGCTCATACATCCAAACATTTTGCTTCCTTTCCATTGTGTTTTTAGTGTTTTTTTTTTGCAGTGCAACTGCAAAATAAATAACCATGGCTCCAAAGAAAGTTCCTAGTACAGTTCCTGTGGTCAAGAAAGTGAGAAACACCATGGAATTTAAGCATGAAGTGTAGCAGGCATGCAGGCAGTGTAACTGGCATGCAGGGAGTGTTGCAGGCATGCAAGGAGTATAACAGGCATGCAGGGATGTAGCGACATCGGAAGTGTAACAGGCATTCGGAAATTGTACAGGATGCAAGAAGTGTAAAGGCATGCGAAAGTGTAACGCATGCAAGGGTGTAAAAGGCATGCAGGGGTTAGCAAAACATGCAGGAAGTGAGAAGGCATGCGGGAAGTGTAGCAGGCATGCAAAAGTGTAACGGGCTGCATGGAGTGTAACAGGTATGAAAGGGTGTAGGGGGCATGCAGGGGAGTGTAACAGGCGCAGGGAGTGTAGCAGACAGCAGGAAGTGTAGCAGCATCGGGGAAGTGGCGGCATGCAAGAAGTGTAACGGCATGCACGGAGTGTAACAGGCATGCAAGAATGTAGCAGGCAGTAGGGAGTGTAGCAGACTGCAGGAAGTGTAAAGGTATGAGGAAGTGTAGAAAGCTTCCAGAAGCCAGCTAGTCTTAAACAAACATAGAAAATACTGTTTTAAATTGTTAAAAATTTTTTGGTGAATTTTTTTGTCTGAACACATTTAAAATTGTAATTACTACTTTAATTATTATGGGAAAGTTTTTTGGGGTTTTCGCCATTTGGGTTTTAGTCGAGCTTCGGGGAACGGTTAGGGATGAAAGAGGGTCCACTGTTATTACGTTTTCCCCTCTATTCTTTTTATTTCAATAACAGTAACTTTGTATAAGCACTTACGAATATACTCAAAAGGTTATAAATGGTGCAAAGGTGACATTCAAAACAATATCAAAGATGAGACCACAAACTCACTACATTTTGTTTCTCCTCACTTAGTGATGATTCCTTTAACGAGTGGCATTTAAACAGAACTCCATTATTGAGGGAGGTTGTACAGTACACACAAAACTTACCTTAAAATATTTATTTAAGAAGTCTGAATAAATAAAGAAATTTGTATACGTGGAACTCGGGTTTTGGAACGCCCCACCCGGGAACTTTTCAGGATCGAACCCTCGTTCCGATTTTTTTTTTCTGGATATGAAAAGAAAAATTTTAGGATGGGTCCTTCCCCCCCAAGGGAAGTTCGTAAAAAAATAAAAAATAAATAAAAAATTTTTTTGCAAGGGTTTTCAATGTGTGTTTCGAAACATAAATAAGATACCGAGACATTTTTGAACACTTAACCTAAACTTAGACTCTTATCTCGACAGGTGAAAATAGTGGTTACAATGTTTTTTTTGTGGGGCTCCCAAATACTGCCAGCCTTTTTAAACTTCCTTTGCTGTTTTTATTATTATTATTTATAGATTTTTTATTTGTTTATAATAATTATTATATTGTTTACATTATTTTTATTATTATTATTGTTTATAATTTTTTATATTGTATTATATTTTTATTATTAAAAATTTTTGTATTTCTATTATTATTATTATTTCTATTTTAAAGTTTATTTATTATTTTATTTTCTATTTATTTTATTATTGTGATTTTATAATAAATTTTTTAATGTGTTATTTTATTGTATTTCTATTTTTTGTTATAAAAATTATTATTATTAGTACGTAACGTGGTGAGGGGTCTTGATCTGGGGAATTTGGGTGTGTGTTCCAGTTCCCCAAATTAAACACAAGCACTTCCCCTTTTAATAATAATAATGTAATTATAATGTAATGAAATTTAATAAACTTTAAAATAATAATAAAAATAAAATTTTTACTATAA